CATGGGTGGCGTGCATTGCACCACCTACAGCTCCAACCACGTACCTCATTTGCAGTGTAAACCCGAAGGAATAAGATCGGGAGGCATGTAGATAGGAGCCACATTTCATCAACGGAGCCGGCCAACACTCCTTCACAGCAAACACAAGCACACTGTATTTGGGGAATGAAGCGTACACAAGGCGGTGGATGCACCGTATTCCGCTCCACACTGCATGCATGGAACAATTCTTTGATCCTAACACGGCCACAAGGACCGTGCACCCCGTCCCCTGCAGCAACGAACAGTTGTCTTCTGGAGTCCGAATAGACGAGGGAATGGATTATACACAGGCACGCACTCTGCCGACATGTACACCAAGCGCAGCCACACTGGGGAAATCAAGCAACAGCAAATCACTTGAAATGACAAAATGAAATGAAATAAATCCAACAATGCGACAGATACGGTGGCATAACTCTTCGCTAAATTACCCTATGAAGTCAGTTGGTTAGCAACGAATCCGTGATAAGTAAAAATTGTCCACGAGTTACTTAAAAATGCTACAAACGCAACAAAGTTAGCGAAGATAAGCGCAAATAGCGTAAGCAACTTGGCCAGCTAATAGAAGATTATTCAGGTAGGCAGAACAAACCAAATAAAGTGGAATGAAATGTATCCAGCTTAAAAGGACCTAGTTTAAGTGTAAGTTGGTTTAGCCCAACTGCGGTGAAGAAGTATCAAGAACGCGACATCAGCATCAGCATGGGCACTCGATATATATATATATATATATATATATATATACTGACGAGTAGTGAGGTTTTTTGGTATAATTCAGCTAATTCATCATCGCCACTCCCAATCAGCAGGCTTAGGCAAGTCTGGAAAAGCATCAGACCCCGGCGTTTTAACCTTCTGGGTCTCATCAGTGGTGCGCCTCCTAGCGGAACCCTGCCTGATTCAGCCCCCATGACTTCAGGATGCCAGCAGCTAGTACCACTTAGCCATGGGTGACAGCCGTAGACCTGTGTGATTGACAGTTGTCTATGATATAGCCCGGCTAATCTTCCACTGCTATTCCAGTTACGAATTGTGCAGAGGACAAGCTAGGAATTTTTGCATAGCGCCAATGCACCGCAGAGGACTTAGAAGCTATACGCACAGATTTTACAGTACTGATGAGTGCAGCGGTGCATTGGCGCTATGCGGAAATTCCTAGCTCGTGAAGCTAGCAATTGTCCTCTGCACAGTTCGTAACTGGAATAGCAGTGGAAGATTAGCCGGGCTATATCATAGACAACTGTCAATCACACAGGTCTACGGCTGTCACCCATGGCTAAGTGGTACTAGCTGCTGGCATCCTGAAGTCATGGGGGCTGAATCAGGCAGGGTTCCGCTAGGAGGCGCACCACTGACGAGACCCAGAAGGTTGAAACGCCGGGGTCTGATGCTTTTCCAGATTTGCCTAAGCCTGCTGATTTGGAGTGGCAATGATGAATTAGCTGATTTATATATATATATATATATATATATATATATATATATATATATATATATACGGAGAGAGAGAGAGAGAATAAAGCGTACGGAAATGCTGACAGGCGTCTACGCTTAATGAGCGTACGTTATAAATTAGTT